TCAGGGCTCGACAAGGCCATCTGCGAAGAGGCGGGAATGATTATGTCCCTCCAAGGCCACCTCTCCACAATCCTGGCCACCGGTGGGGCACAGAATCCGTGCCAGTCGCTCCGGGACAACAGCACTGTGTGCACACTCAGAGCACGCTGTGCACTAACTGTGCGCTCGGCTTAGAGTCAGCAGACAACGCAGACTCTGCGAGCTAGGACCGTCTCCCTTGGAAACCTAGCCCTTCCAGGCTGTAGGGTAGTTTCTAGGCACTGTAAGAATCCCACGCTCCTGCGCATGCCCACATTAGCGCTCCTCTTCCGTACAACCCCTTCCAAATCTTCAGTACCTCCACCTCTCACCCGTTCTGCTTTCAAGACCCTCAAACTCGGTTCCGGGAACCACCGCCTCCGCTTCAAGTCAAAACTGCTCCTCTGGACCCAGGTTCCCAGGTGACCTGGAAGGCCTTTGTCCCCGGAGGCGGGGCCGAAACAGAACACCTGCAATCCCAACGTTTCCCATTAGGGCGCGCGCTAGCTAGCACTACTTCTTGGAAGTAAATTGCCTTCCTAATCCTGCCTGGGTGTCCTGGACTTCCCGTTCAGTCTTATCAGAGAGAGTCACTGTTAGGAGGTGGAGCTGAAGGAGAAAAGAAGGCTGAGTGAAAAGAGAGTATTCATAAAATAGCCAACGCTACTGGGGATTCTGGAGATGAAGGGAGAACTTTAGCTGCCTGCATCCTGACTTGAATTCCCAAGACTCAATCCCAGTAAAATGCACAGCACAAGACACGATGCCTAGGAATATCTTAGGTTACTGTAGCATTCATTTTACCAATTTTTTAAAAAAAATTATTTTTAGAGGCTAGAGAGAGAACTCAGCACTTAAGGGCACTGGCTGCTCTTGCAGAGGCCCTGGGTTTGATTTCCAACACCCACACAGTGGTTCATAGCTGTCTGTAATTCCATTTTCAGGGAATCCGATGCCTTCTGGCCTGCATGGACACCAGACACACATACGGACAAACATCCTTACACACAGCATTTTTAGTTTTGTAATTGTGTGTGTGTGTGTGTGTGTGTGTGTGTGTGTATTATGTGTACGGGAGGGCATGCACCCGAGGAAGCCAGAAAAGAGTGTTCCCTCCCTCTTGAAACTGGAATCTCAGGGGGTTGTGCGCCACCTGGCATGGGTGGTGGGAACCAAACTCAGGTTCAGAACGCACTCATTTATTTTCAGTTCTAGATGTCTGTCTCAGGAGCGGCCCACCTTGTTGCCGTTGTCTTTAATATATTTTACTGTTCGACTTTGGGAGACTGTTTGTGTGTGTCCACGTGTGCAGTGTACATGCACATGTGTGTGCGTGCTTGTGCACACTAGAGGTCAGCGTGGGTGTTTTCCTTGGTTGCTCTCCATCTTGTTTTCTGAGGCAGGACCTCTGATTAAACCTGAAGTTTTGATTCTGCTACACTGTCTGGCAGGGAAGCCCAGGGCTCTCCCGTCTCCAGCTCCCCAGGAATGGGATTGTGAGCGCATGCAGCACTCAGTATGGAACCCAGGCCCTGGTGCTTGCAGGGCAGGTGCTTCACTGTTTGAACCCTTCCTGGCTGAGCCATCTCCCTGCCCCCATGTGTCCCGTGTGTCTCTTGTCACATATACAGAACCCTCCTGCCTCCAAAAACCCAAGTTCTGTGCGGCCCCATAAGTGCACAACACTTGGAAGGAAATTTAGAAATTTCTATTTCAAAAATACGATATTTCTACCTTCTACATGCAGTGAAAATGAAATAGCAATGGAGAAATTTGGATTAAGAGGGACATACAGTGGTGTGAAGCTGGATTCCAACCTCAAATATTTCGGGTTTTCAGTTCATTTTTCCTCTATGTATCATCTCTGTAGCCAGAAGAAAATGCATGTCAGCCGGGTAGTGGTGGCGCACACCTTTAATCCCAGCACTTGGGAGGCAGAGGCAGGTGGATCTCTGTGAGTTTGAGGCCGGTCTTGTCTACAAGAACTAGTTCCAGGACAGGCTCCAAAGCTACAGAGAACCCTGGGGGGAAAAAATTAAAAGAAAGAAAGAAAGAAAGAAAGAAGAAAAATATACCACCAACAAGAAAATGCATCTTATAAATTATGCTCATATGACCTCAAGGAATTACTTCTAGGGGTTACATGGAGTCTGTAATATTTCAACAATCTTAATTCTTGCAATACATAAACATAGGAGAGAGATAGTATGTGTGAGTTGTGTGTGATTACTTTAATCAATTTTTTTTGTTTGTTTGTTTTTTGAGACAGGGTTTCTCTGTAGCTTTGGTTCCTGTCCTGGAACTAGCTGTTGAAGACCAGGCTGGCCTCGAACCCACAGAGATCCACCTGCCTCTGTCTCCCGAGTGCTGGGATTAAAGGCACGCACCACCACCGCCCGGCTCGATCCTTATAGCTCTTGTTTGCCCATTCTGCCTCACTAGGAATATATCTTTGGAATTCAAGTGAGGATGCGGCTGAGATTTTTTCCTATTCTTCAGCTACCACAATTATCTGTAGCTCCAGTTTCAGGGTTTTGGTGCCCTCTTCTAGTCTCTAAGGGCACTGTCTTCATGTGGTGTACATATATATATGCAGGCGAAACATTCACACTTATTATTATTATTATTTTATTATTATTCCGAGGCAGGGTTTCTCTGTGTTGTCCTGGCTGTCCTGGAACTCGTGTTGGAGATCAGACAACCTTGAACTCAGAGATCTGCCTGGTCAAGTGCTAGGATTAAAAACCACATTAAAATTTTTTTTGAAGCCGGGCGGTGGTGGCGTACGCCTTTAATCCCAGCACTCGGGAGGCAGAGGCAGGCGGATCTCTGGGAGTTCGCGGCCAGCCTGGTCTACAAGAGCAAGTTCCGGGACAGGCACCAAAGCTACAGAGAAACCCTGTCTCGAAACCCCCCCCCCCAAAAAAAATTTTTTTTGAGGGGCTGGAGAGGTGGCTGGGCGGTTAAGGAGCATTGCCTGCTCTTCCAAAGGTCCTGAGTTCAATTCCCAGCAACCACATGGTGGCTCACAACCATCTGTAATGAGGTCTGATGCCCTCTTCTGGCTTGAAGGCATACACACAGACAGAACATTGTATACATAATAAATAAATAAAAAAATTTTTTGAAAAAGAAATATTTCTTATTATTCTGTAGACTGTATTCTGTGACCTTTTTATTTGATTAGTTCTAACAGTTCTTTGGTTTTGCTCCTAATATTCTTTTTAAATTTACATTGCTGCTATTATCCATTAGGCAGTAAAGGATTGTTGGGGGTTGTAAAAGCTGCTTCTGCACGTCTTGGAGGAGGGGTGCGAAATTGCTCAAGGCTGTACCTGCCCACAGGCTTTCGAGGCGCCCTGCGAAGACAGGTTCCTCTTCTGCACTTCCCCAGTTGTCCGCTGGGGGGCGGGACGGGCCGAAGAAGAAGGAGGCAGCCGGAAGAGCAGGAGGAGGTGGAAGCTGCGGACTTCAAGCAACCTCAGGCTGCGTTCCTGGGCTGCCTCCTGTCACGTTTCTACTTTTGACTGCATTCACCCGCCACTTCTCTGGATAGGAGAAGACTCAGAGAGGTCGTCCAGAGGCTCAATCCAGACGGGATGATTTCCCTCCCTTTCAGCCTCTCCACTACAATCCTGCGGTGCCACTTTTGAGGGGGTCATAGGTGACCCTGGGTTCCTTCAGGGGGCCCAGGCCAGCCAGGCAGCATTGCAGAGGATCAAGCATGTATCAGAGCCCCACCAAAGGCCCCTGCTAAGAATGCAGGTCAGCTGGAGGAGTTGCAAGGGGAAGAGGGAGGGCCCTGGCCCTGCCCAGACAAGCCCAGCCAGCCCTACAGCTGCCCTCCTGCCCCTGGGGGCAGATATGGGGGAAAAAGAGGGGACTCACCAGGTTTCTGGGGTCTAATTCCCCCAGAACCAGGAAGACAAAAGAGGTGCCCCGCAGGAGTGCCTCAGGCAGGAGGTCACAGGTAAACAGGCTCTGAGTTGCTAAATCCTGTAACAGATGGAAGCAGGTGCCCACCCCCAACCAGTCTGGCTTTCTCCACAGCCCCCAAATTATCCTGATGTCCTCTTCCAGGGTCCCCTTCAACTCTGAGGCCCCCAGATCACTCAGACTTGTGATAGGATGGGCCAATCTGAGAACCAGATTTGACTAGAGAAATTGGGTTACGGGTTGTAGGGGCTGGGAATCCCACGAGGGAAAACAATACATTTGGAGAAAAAAAATATAAACAAAAAGTATGTAGGGAAGGTGACAGGGTGCAATGACCAACCTTGTCCTACGGAGGCAGGAAGCCAAAACAAAAGCTGATCCCCTATCACCTTCCAAACACCAGGTCTCTGCAGTCGGGAGGCTTTCACTCTGAATTGGATACCAGCTGTGAGTGGGCATCTCTAGTCTCTCTGAAGACAGCGAGTCCCGTGAGGGTGCGCCTGTGCACACTGCGGTTGCGCAACCCCGGCAGGTTTCTTGCTTTGAGTAGTAGCAGCAACCTTTCCCTCATACTTTCCAGCTGGGCAGATGCCCATCAGATATCCTGGCTGCCTTTCATCGCCTTGTCTCTGATAGGGATCACCCTGGGTGAAGAAATCGCTGTCAGTCACCCCATCTCACTCGCAGCCAGAGGGACCGGCTGACACGCATGCTCCCATGGGGGTGGAGCGAGTCTGGCGGCCAGCTACGACTGGGAAGGGAGGGGACCTCGGGGAGGAACAAGTTATAAGTAGAATACGGAAACATCCTGAAACTGCTCCTCTCCACAGATGAGTACCAGAGACTATGGATCCGGAAGCAGCCTTTCTGTCCTTATCGCCTTCAGTATAGGTTCAGATCCAAGCTCTGACCCAGCCAATTGAATAGAGGTGATGCTTGCCCAAGGATCCCCCTGCCCAGTCCACCCTGTGGAGGGACAGAGTCAAAAAAAATAATAAAGGAGGCTGAGCTGGAAGACAAACAAAGCAAGAGTGTGGTTGGTTGATGACTTTATTGTCGCATAAAAAACACAGGCTGTTTCTGCCTCCTCCTCCCCACCCCCCAAGTGGGTTCACAGCAGTAAAAGAAAAAAAAATCCTACATTTTCCTCTGGGGGGGCTGCCTAGAAGGACAGGCAGCTGAGAAACCTAGGCTGATGAAGAACAGGGCAGATAAAAACTATCCAAAGCCCCGCCTGCAGATCTTAGGGTTCAGAGTGGGGGACCATCCATGCCCCCCACACCCATGTAGGAGTTCCCCTAAGAATGGTCACTGGAAAAAGTTGTCTTGGTAGCACAGGGAGAGGGTGGCTGGTTTCGATGGGTGGAGGAGAGAGCATCCCACACCCACGGTGCCCTTCTTTCTCCCCCTCTGTGCCTACCTAGCCAGGCGACCTGCAGGCATGGCCAGCTTTCCTCTCTCTCTCTGTCCTCTTTGTAAGAAAGGGGACCTCTGGCTTAGGTTAGCAGGAGGTGAGGAAAAGAGGGAGAACACAGAAAGAACCTTATTCTTAAACTACCTCAGGCCCCTAACATCCCACAGGGAGTCACCCTGTCCCTTTTAAGGAGGAGCTCTTTCTACACAAACACATATTCCTACCCAGATCCCAGCCCCTACTTCCCATACAGTTCCCAGTCCTTGAACTGGGCTCTAGCATCCCCAGTGGAGGAAGAGATACTGTGGGTCTAGGCCCCAGACCTTGGACGGGGTTTACAAGATGGGATCTCAGGAGACCCCAGGCTCAGTAGAGAAACACATACATACATACAGGTACAGACAACACACACATACACACTCACACCCTAAAATTATTAAATAAAATACCCATTGCTTATAACTTAAAAATCAACACACAGCTATTCCCTGCAGAGGGTTCTGGGTGGAGAGAAGAAAGCAAGAGAGAGGTCGAAGGGACTCAAGGCCTCGGCCTCAAACCTGAGTGTGCCTCCAGCCCCAAGGTCCTGTGGTCTGCCAGGCAGAAATCTACCCTCCCCACCCTGTGATCAAAACCCTAATGTATCTCTAGCATCTAAGAAAGGGAAAAGAAACAGCTTCCTAGAGTCCCTTCTAGGGGAGAACTCTTCATGTGGAAGGAGAATTCCCACGGGGGGGGGGGGAGAAGGGGAGGACTCTATAATAGTGGAGGGAACATGAAAGGGTCAAACTAAAGCTAAAGAGAGGGATGGGGGAGTTCAGACAGGGGCAGTGTCTTCACTGTAATCCCTCTGCTAGGACAACCCCAAACAGTCAAAGGACCCCTTTCCCTTCCAACCCCACCGAGAAAGCTAAGGATAGGGACCTGAGGGTGGGGTGGGGTAGGGGAGTCCATGCCAACTCTGGAGTTGGTGCTGGTGGCTGACTAGAAAACTACCTAGGGTATTGGGTGAAGAATGGGAACTACTGAATTTGAGTTCTTTTTAAAGGTCTAAGAGTTAAGGACTGAATTAGAGTTGGAAAAAGAAGCGGTTAGTTCTTTCATTCCCCGCCCCCCTCCCCCATGTCAAACTTCTTCCAATTTTGTAAGAGGACCTCCCTGCTGGATCCCTCTCCCCATGTAACTCTGACCTCTAGCTCACAGCTCTGGCTACGAAGCTGTGCCTTCCCTGACTCTCGTAGACTGAATCAGAAGGGTTTATAAGGAATTCATTGAAGGGGGTTTGTTCTGTCGGAACAACCCTCCAAGTTAGATAGACAGCCCCGTAAGAGGAGCCACCCCAGGCTCCCCTACCTCATCTCTGCCCTCTCTCTGGAAACTTTAGAGGGAGAAGCGCTAGCAGGGGGATGAAAGGGACCTAGGCCTTAGGGCGGCTCCGAGGTGCTTTTATGTCCGGGTTCCCAGTAGCTAAAGACGAGTCCAGACAGCTACCCCCAACGCCCCAAGCCAGTCTCTCTTCCCTTCAGCTCCTGGGACGTGATATTTCTCCTAGCCAATCCCTCCACACAGAAGGAGTGCTCCATCCTAACGCTTCCGCAACTCAGGGGAGGGTGAAATAGTGAGAAAGAAAATAAGCGAGGGGCACGTTAGCTCCTGGCAGCCTAAACACTCAAATAGCCTCCCTTCTAGCCCCAGAAACTAAAAAACAAAAAACCCTAGCGCCCCTCTCCCTGTCCCCTCACCATCAATAAATAACCACCTTCCCCTCTTCCTCAGGCCGCCCCCCTAAAAAGATCGGCAGGGATGAGACATCCACGGGGGCTCAGTTGGAGGGCGCCGAGCTGCCTTCGGCCTCCCGTTTGCCTTTGCTCCCGGGTGGCTCCACCGTGCCGCCCGCCTTGGCCTCGCCCTGGGCCGCCGCCGCAGCCTCCTCTTTGGAGCCCTCGTGGGTTTTCATGTGCTTGGCCAGGTGGTCGCTGCGCATGAAGACTCGGCTGCAGACCGCACAGGGGAACTTCTTGGTCCCGGTGTGGGTCTGAAGGTGGCGCTGCAGCTCGTCGGAGCGCGTGAAGCGCTTGCCACAGAAAAGCCAGTTGCACACGAAGGGACGGTCGCCGCTGTGCCACCGCAGGTGCGCCTTCAGATGCGACGTCTTGGCATAGGCTTTCCCGCAGCCTGGGATGTGGCAGTTGTGCAAATGCTTCTTCTTGCCCCCATCGGGCCCGCACGGAGCCCCGAGTCGCTCCGCCTCCAGGCAGTTGGGGCAGCGACATACGGTCTGCCCAGAGCTGCGGGGCACAGACCGCCGGGAGCCTTTGGGTCGGGCCGCCGCATCCAGACTGGAATCCAGCCCTTGGGACTCTGGCGCCGCCGCTTCCAAGGCCTTAGCCCCGTCGGGTGGCCCTAGGAGGTGCTGCCCACCCGCGGCTGGGAGGAGGTGGTGCGGGTGCGGATGGGGCGGCGGAGCACAGAGCTGGTGGTCTCCGACGTATCCTCCCAAACCAGGCTGAAGCGCCCCCGGGTGGCCAGGTGAGGTCAGCGCTCCTTGAGTGTGGGGGAGGTCCATCCAGCTAGTGCCGGGATGTAGGTCCCACCACGAGCCATCCTCCGTGCCTGGGTGAGTCGGCCGGAACCACGATTCGTAATGATGTGACATGTCCGGCTGCAGGAGTTTGGAAAAGGGTCCCGGAGCCAAGGGACTGTCACTTTCCAGGTCCTCGCAGGTTACCCGCGAGGAGGCCCCTGGCAACTCATAGCCCTGTGAGAAGTCTACCTCCGGGCCCAGTGGGAGGCTCTGCAGCTCTGCGGGCTGCAGCGGGGAGGGGTAGTCCCCGACCTCAGGGCTCGTGTGACCCTGGTACGTCTGGAGAGGCTGCAGATCGAGGCGCGGCGGTGATGCGTGAGGCGCGTCGGTGTGCTGGCTGCCCAGAGAGCCACAGACAGCGGTTAGCATTGCCGGGATCCGGGGTGGGGTGAGGGCAGGGACGGTCAAGGGCACCTCAGGTGGGACCTAGAGGAGGCAAAGATGAGACATTAGTAAAGAAGGAGACCTGCTTACTTTCCCTAACCCAGATTCTTCCTAGCAAAGCTCTCCTTCCGAGCCCCTAGGAGGAAAAGGGGGGCGTGCCTCTGGGTGGAGACAAATCAGTTCGAACCTGATTTGTTCTGCTAGGAATGCTAGGAAGGAGTAAGAATGTGAAAGTTTAGGTCAGGGCACAGAAAGGCCTTTCCTCTAAGTGTCCCCGCCCTAGGGACTCAGCTCCTCCTGGAGTTGGGCTGGTCCCAACCGCCAGAACCATCTCTATGTAGCTGCCTGGACTTTTCTCTCTGCAGACCGGCTGCCAACCTAAATGATTGATCTAGATTCATCTTAGACCCAGGCTAACTCTGAACCCAGATAGGGCAAGGGTATGCTTCTGGCTGCTTGAGGTGATTTGCCCTTCACAAAGTCCAGAACAGGTCCTGAGCTTTTTGCCAAAGCCAATCTCACAGACCTGCTGTAATGATGTGGAATAGCCTTTAATCTCTCTATACAGTCCCCGGCTTGGTTGACTCTGCCCACCAAACCCATTCCCTAACTCAACATCTGCTCCTTCCCTTACCAGAGAAAGAGATCACCCAGAGAACAGCTTGTTAGAAACTCACAAAAATATAGCCGCTGCTCCCTTACAGAAGGCAGCATCAGAGTTTGGAAGAGATGGGCATCCTTTATCCCAGAACCCAAGGGAGAGCACTGGAGAACTTGTAGAAGCCCCTTATAGTACTCTGATGTTGAGGGTTACCGTTCCGAGCCTGCTCTTATTGAAGAAAGCAGAACTTGGAGCAACAACTAGACTAAGGTGCCCATTTAATCATTCAATCAACAAGCATTCACTGCTCAGTACCTCTGGGAACCAGTTCCCTTTCTCAAAGCAGTAGAAACCTAAGGCCCAGCAGAAACCTAGAGATCTGGCCTGGGTGTGGTGATGCAAGCCTTCAATCTAAACACTCAGGAAATCGAAGCAGAAGAATGCAGAGTCCCAGGCCAGCCTGGGCTATACGGCAAAAGAAGGGAGAGAGGGAAGGGATGAGGGAGAGGGAGAAAGGAGAAGAGAAGGAAAAGAGAAGCCTCTAAGCAGTGTGGGGACCATCTAATAAATAATGCCAGCACTCCGGAGGCTAAGACAGAAAACTTCTGAGCTCAGCCTGGGCTCAAAGACGAGACCGTTTCAAAAACAAAACAAAAATTTAGAGAAACCTTAAAACCTCCACCGTTTTCTCCACCACAAATCTATGACCTGAAGGTCCCAGTCTTCTCTCCATCTCTCTCTAGAGCTTTGGAATCTTGCCTCTCTGTGGTCTGGTGTGGAAGAAAGCAATGATTTAGAGCCTTCCCAAAGCAGGGCTCAGCTGACCCTACTAACCTCCCGCCTTTGGGATCAGGGCGGTAGCACTGATAGTCTGGGAAAGGCAGGGAAGAGGAGGACCCGGGTGCCTACTCTGGCTCGGGCAGCCTTACCACAAGAAAGGAACAGGGTGAAGCAGCAGGAATGGAGCCTTAGGCCCAGGCGGGGCAGCCCAGAAGGGGTTGGGCTGGAGCAGTGAGGCCTGGGACCCTAATAGCTTTTGGCGCCTGGGAATTGCCCCAGGGTTGGGGGGGGGATGGGAAGGCTAAGATGACCCATGCTGCGAGGGGCCTCTCTGGACAGAGAGCTTGAGCACAGGCCCAGAATGCAATGGCCTGCAATCGAGGCTACACTAAAAGAAAGCAGAGCGAACACATGCTCCCCAGTCCGAAAAAGAGGGTAGAAACAGACGTCTCTAAGTCCCATGGATCGTCTGCCTTTCCCGAGTCCCAGTCCCAGTAGGGACTTTCGTTCAAACACGGTTTTCAAAGTTCCAATACTCCGGTTGTCCCAGTTGCTCCAGTTTCCCCAGTTCCCAAACTCCCTTGGTCCCTCCAGTCCCTCCCGTCCTCCCGGTTTTTCCTCCGTCTGGGTACTCAGTTCCTCGGATCCTTTACGACCACCCTCCCCATGAGGCCAGTGCAGGCTGCCATGTGTTCCGAGCATCTTTCCCCTCGGATCTCCGCCGCGCGCGTCCCTGGCGGCGCGGACCCGGGCTCCTTCCTACCTGGCGGTTGCGCTCGGGCTCGGGGCACCGCAGGCTGGCGCACTACAGACGGGCGCTCATGGGCCCTGCGCGCTGGCCGGCTCTCAGCGGCGTGGGACAGGAGCCGAGGGCAAGCTGGGGTCGCGACCAGAGCCGGCGATCGACGGCGGTGGAGGCGGTGAGAGCCGGCGGGAGGGTGGAGGGCGGGCAGGCACCGGTGAGCGAGTCAGCGAGTGAGGGAAGCCAGCTCCGCCCGTGACTCACCGCGCTCTCTGCCTTCATCCTCTCCCCTGCGCTCCTTTTTCCCCCCCGAACCCGCGGCCCCGCCCACCTCACCTGCGGCCGCCTTTAACCCTTGCTGGCTCGGCTGGAGGCGAGGCCCAGCCCCGCGCGAGGAGGGGGCGGGCTGGACGGACGGCTAACCAGGCCATTTCCCTCCCTCTCCCTCACTCCTCCCAGGTCCTCACCACTCCCTGAGTTAAGGCCCTAAGTTGGAAAGTTTTTCCTATGTTCAGAGACCGTGTCCGATCCCATGGAAATCTGATCCAGAGCTGGTTCAGTCCGGCGGGGGGACACGGCTCAGACCCGGGATGGGACGAAGGACCGAGAGTCCTGGGGGAGCTATCGAGCCTTCCTTTGGACGCGTGTGGCTACCAGTGCTTTCTGACCCCGCGTCCTGGTCTCGCAGTGCTAGAACTGAGTGAAAAAGAGACTTGAAGACCAAGTTTTTGCCCGGCCCACTCCCAGGCCTAGACCAAGAGAGAAGTGTATTTTGGCTACACCGCTGCCCTCCCTCCACCACCATCATGCGCCGAATTTTCCCCTCCGCTTTCCTGAGATCCTCCCCTTCTATCTGGCCACTGGACTTTTTGGGTGATGAGCATCCTCTCAATGTCTTCCCCAGTCTCCGGTTCTCATTGGCCCCCAGATCCTCTCAGTGTACTCTCTCCACCTTCCCTTAGGCGGCAAGCCTGGCGCCATCGAAGTCCACTACGTAAGTCCGCCGCCTTCTTCACGGTCCCGGTTGCTCAGCCTGTACGCGGGGTTGCTGCCGCGCACTTGGATCTGAGGGTTGGGCTGGCACCTGAATGGCCCGGGAAAGGCACATTTCAGCCAAGGATTGAGCGAGTCTTTTTGCCACCCGCTCTTTCCGATTCTCCGCCGAGTATCTCAAGTTTAGAGAAAGGTCTGGGATTCCTTGGAGGAAATAAACGCGGGTACGCAAAGCCACATTCTAGTACGTTTTCAGGGCGTCCACCGCGCCACTAAACAAAACTCTCAAGATTAGAATTGGTGGAAATCCTGACATCCCTACCTCGAGCTCAGGTGGGCACCACAGTATCCCCAATTCTCTGCCCTGATGACCTGGCTAAAAGTGGCTCATGTGCCTTCCCTGCCACCTCCGAAGCCCGCGCGCTGTGACCTCCCTAGGTGACCCTTTCTGACACAGAATTTCTGAGAGATTTTCGTTGTCTCTTTCCTTACCGGGTCTAGCGTTCTCTATGCACTCTTTAACATCAATTTCCGAGAGTTCTTTCATTTAGACTGATTTAATCTCGCCATTACGGACTCTTCTTTCTTTTTCTTTTCTTTTTCTTTTTCTTCTTTCTTTGTTTTTTTAAAGCTGGGTCTCACTCTGTATCCCAGGGTGGCTGGGAAATCACTTGATTGCTTATGTCGGCCTCGACTCTGCAGCAATCTCCCTGGCTCAACCTCGCAACTTCTAGAATCACGGGTGTTAAGGACCACACCCGGCTTTCAATCCTCATTTCACTCCGACTAGTTTGTCCGTTCCCGTTTGAGCCGCGCTGAAGTATTCAGCTTAACTGAATCCATGAGCCTTCTGAAGGTCAGTGCACGCACGTGTCTGCTTAGCGGTCAGTGCTTCCGCTATTTGAACACCTTTGTCACTTCTAAAACTGGAGTCCTTCACCTGGACAACCTGGGTACAAGCTGGGAGGGTTTCCTGGGGCATAAGTAAATCGCGTCTAAAAGAGCAAATTCCGTGATGCCCCTGCTAGAAACAGAATAACCCTTAATCCTTTTAGAATAAGTTTGTTCCAGAAACACGTGCAGATTAAAGTACATTCAGAAAGATCTTTGGACTAGAAGGTCACAAACGTAAATCCTGGCCCCAGCGGTACATCTTTTACACTGACCCTCGAGGACTATGTTATTCTATGCCTCTGGTTTCCTCAGTCGACTTGAAGGGTATTAGGAAGCAGAAGACATATAAGGTAGAGTTTGGTGACCAGCCTGGACCTACTGTTCTTCCCTCTTCCCTGCCCTTAGGGTTACATAACAAAAATTCTTAAGAATCCCTTTGGCCGTTTGGGTCCAAATTCACACTTTTTAATCAACACAGTTTGTCCACTCAATCAACCTCCAAATCCTAACGGGTGGGGTTTGAATTCTCAGTTCACAGTTACCTCCAGAGCCAAGTTAGGGGTTCCTAACTCAGGGAGCAGAACCTGACTTGGGTGGATATGGCTCCTGGAACAAGACTGGTTAGACCCTGGTATTCCAGTCTCCCCAGCCATCTGGAGTCAGCGCATCTGCTACAGCAATGGTTCCCAAGCTCTGGGTCTCCACCCTTTTGGTGGGTTGCATATCAGATATCCCGAACATCATATATTTATATTCCGACTCATAACAGTAGCGAAATTACAGTTATGAAGGGGCAACGAAATAACGTTATGGTTGAGGATCACCACATCATGAGGAACTGTCTTAAAGAATCGAAGCCTTAGGAAGGTTGAGAACCACTGATCTGCTGTTATTCCAGCCACACAGGCAGGAGCTAGAGCTAAAGACAGTCTGAGTGCCCGCATCCATTTATAGGTGGCAGACTGCCTTATTTGC